TGGAAGAGCTAACTTGATGTATTTCACATTAATATTACTTCTTATTAGTATTATTTCATTAAATCTGTTTTCATTTCAACTCATAGCTCTTCTTTTCCCCCCCAATTCCCCTACCCAGAGGTGGGGAGGGGGTCACAGAGTGACAGGACAACTACCTTGAGCACCCTGTGCAACTGCTTTAACTTACGTCGCTGAACTCCAGCGGCAAGTTCTCCGTGGGCTGGAGCTCAGCAGCACTCAAGTACAGGTCAGTGGGGACAGGTTCCAGTTCCTCAGGGACAGCCAGCACCTGCTCAGGGACGTACATCTGTGGAGGTAAACGGAGGTGGAGTGGGCAACAAGGATCCTCAGAAAGGCTGACAGGAACTGGCTTGTTGCAGGGGACTTCTTCAGAGCCTTGACATGGTTTAAATAGAGTTTGATTAGTGTCCTGACAGATGTCTGGGATGAGATGGTCAAGGGAAACTTGCAGAGTAGACAAACTACAGACAAGACACACATCTAGAGGTATAAATCCTTCCCAATTATCCACCACCCCTCCAAAAAAATGGTGTGAAAAACCTCAGGATTTCTCCAAGATCAGGAATCCAGACTGCAGAGCTGCACCCTGGTGATGTAGGTGACGTGATCTGCATGATGGAAAACAGGGACAACAGTCACAGCCTCCCAGTGGGATCTGGATCCCTGTAAAGCCCTCACAGATCCTCAGGTGGAAGATGTTACAAAGGCAGAGGCTCACTGCTTTTATCCATTTAAAAGGCATCTGCATAACCCTGACCATGGAACAGGCAGTGGAGATAAGAGCACACACACAATGCTCATTCCACAGCCAGGAGTTTTGTTCCGGTATTTTTATCTTCCCAGTGTTATTTTCCTTCCCAATGGAAAACCTTATTCCTGCCAGAGGTGTCAATGGGATTTCCTGCCTTTAATCACAAACAGAAACTCTGCTCCCATTGCATCGCTCTGTGTCAACGTGCCACTGACAGTCCTGAAGCTTCTACTTACAATACCTGAGCAAGGGACAATCTCCACACAGGTGACAAGCTGAAGCTGAAGCCAAAGCAGATTTCAGCTGCAGATTCAAGTCTTTTGTTTGTTAGAACATGTCCAGAGGAGGCCACAAGGGCTGGAGCAGCTCTGCTGTGAGGACAGGCTGAGAGAGTTGGGGCTGTTCAGCCTGGAGAAGAGAAGGCTCCGGGGAGACCTTCTAGTGGCCTCCCAGTACCTGAAGGGGCTCCAGGAAGGCTGGGGAGGGACTTTGGCCAAGGACAGGGAGTGAGAGAACAAGGGGTGATGGCTTGAAAGTGGCAGAGGGGAGATGGAGATGAGATGTGAGGAAGAAATTCTTTGGTGTGAGGGTGGTGAGACAGTGTCCCAGGTTGTCCAGAGAAGCTGTGGCTGCTCCTCCCTGGAAGTGTTGAAGGCCAGGTTGGATGAGGCTTTGAGCAACCTGGTCTAGTGGAAGGTGTCCCTGCTGCTGGCAGGGGGGTTGGGACTGGATGAGCTTTCAGGTCCCTTCCAACCCAAACCAGTCTGGGATTCTCTGATTCTTTCAGGTCAGACACCTCAGTATCAAACCCACTCAAATAACTGCCCGGCTGTTTGTGGGGTTCACACCCCAGTTTCCTCTTCACACAGCACAGTGTGGGAGAAGAAAAAAAAACCAACAAACCCCAAACATCCAAACCCACATAAATTGGCAAAAAAGCACCAAGTTTCACCCATTTTTTTTTTAAGCTGTCTAGGGTTCAGATTTATCCTTTCCCTCCTCCCTGCATCCAGGCAGCAACTGAGCCCAGCCCAGAGGAGCCTGATCTCTCAGACACCCGAGGGCAGATGTGGTGAGGAAAAGCATCTCTGTATGAACAGCAGGGTGGGGAAGCCAGATTTTAATCTCTCTGAATAACTCCCAGATCAAGCCCTGACTTTTACCAGTAGCCAAAAAGCCTGGATTGCCAAGAGGACAAAACCACACACTCCACCTGGAGCCCAACAACCCAGCTGGATTCGTTCCCTTTCATGTTATTGTCACAAACAATCCAGCTCCTGAAAAGCAAAACAAAAGCCTAAGAGCCTCCTGACAATGCACAAAGCAGAGCAGACTGCAGATGTTATCGGCTCAGCGGGTCTCTAACCAAAGTAAAATCTTGTTTGTGTCAGGGAAAGTCAGCTGACAGCTCAGACATAAGGAAATCAAACCTCAACCTCGCTTGTTCCACTCCCTCCTCAGCCAGCCAGCTGCAAACAGCAACTTGCTCGAACTGTTTTATAGGTATTTATCCTGTCTTTTTATTTTTGAAGTAGATGGTCACTAGAGAGAAACAAAAGCAGCTTCCTGCTCCCTGGGCTGCTCCCCATGCATAGCTGGAGTGGAGTCTGCCAACTTCAGGAACAAAACAAAACAAAACCAGGAGCTCAAACAAAACCAAGAGCTCAAAAAAAAATGAGGAGCTCAAAAAAAACCAGGAGCTCAAAAAAAACCAGGAGCTCAAACAAAATGAGGAGCTCAAACAAAACCAAGAGCTCAAAAAAAATGAGGAGCTCAAAAAAAATGAGGAGCTCAAAAAAAAACAGGAGCTCAAACAAAATGAGGAGCTCAAACAAAATGAGGAGCTCAAACAAAATGAGGAGCTCAAACAAAATGAGGAGCTCAAGCAAAATGAGGAGCTCAAGCAAAACCAAGAGCTCATCCTCCCCCTGGCTGCCAGCTCTGCTCTGGGACCCAGCATCTGAGTTCCTCTTAACTCACACAGCTCCTACATGATCCAAACCTGCTCCAGGACACACCCACCCAGTCCCATTTAAGAAAAAAGCAGATGCACCCAGGGTAATGCTCAGGTTGTGGATCCCCTGTTTGGGGTGGTGATCCCTGAGTTGAGGGAATCCCAAGGGAAATTTCAGTGCTGGTTTTCCAAAAGCCAAAGCTGTTTCAGGAAATTAAACAGCTTAAGGCTGTTCAGACACACAAGTGAACCTTTAAAGGGGTGAAAGGAGACTGAGCTGGTCCATGGCAACCCCCAAACAGGCTAGGAACCACTCCCTCATTCTAAGCCTCCTAAAAAATGACTGAGCACATGCTTCAGCAGTCAGACACCTCTTCCTACACACACCCCTCACAGCAGGACTCATACCAAGAGCTCACAGACCCTGCTGAGGTCGGCTGTTGGCACTCAGCACCAGTAGCCAAGCCAAGAGACTTGTTTCTACCCCCCCTTTGACACAGCCAGAAACTCTCTTGGGCATCGTGAGGTTCCCTGGTTGCTTCCAAGTGAACTGGCCAGCCTGTTGGGATGCTCTGGATCAGGCAGTGAAAGCTGCAGCAGGACCTGCCCAGGCAGAGGGGAGGGTGAGCCCAGGCTCTTGTTGCTCCCACACGAATTGGCTGTTCCATGGGGATGGGAACACCAACAGACCGGGAGATGTTTCCTCTGGGCTCCTGCTTGAAACCAACGGCTACAGCAAACCGATGGCCTTGATTTAGGGCCAAAGAAAAGGAAAAAAGGAGGATCAAACACATTTCAAACTGTCAGCAAAATGGTCAGGAGCGTGGCCCAAGGCAGATCAAAGGATACGTGTCAGGCAGTGCCTGGTCATCGGGAGGGACGGGTTGGAGCATCGGACGTCGTCGACAAAGGCCAAGCACCTCTGGCTGGAACGGGTGGTGTGAGCCTGTAAATCCAAGAGAAGAGCTCAAGAGTTGTGCTGGAGTCATCCAGCTCCATTGCAGAGAAACCTCCTGGGTTATATACAACACTTGAGTCCTGCTTTCAAAACATGCCAAAGACCAAACTCCCAGTTCCACCCCAGCAGAGCCCAGTTCCTCATTAAGTCCTTCTCATTCAAGCTTTTATTAAACAGAACTGAGATAATAAGGCACAGCTCGATTTCAAGAGGAAGAACTTCACCTCAGAAGTATGTCTCCAAGAATGAGAGACTCAAACTTAATCTTTCAACTTTCAGAAGTCAGTTAACGGAATGTTTTGAATTTTAAAACAGTTATAAAGATAATGACTGCAGGCAGCTTCACATTTAGGATCAGACCCAAAGGGACCTGCCTTTGGGTCTCCACAGGTCTAGGAAGAGTCTGGGGTTCACCATCATTAAATCTGTTTTCATTTCAACTCATGGCTCTTCTTTTCCCCTCCAATTTCCCCCCAAAAAGGAGCATTTTCCACACATTTTTCAGTGAGGAAATTGAGGCCATTTCACCCTGAGCTCTCCCTTTCAAAAGGGAAAATTCTCCAAACTAACTCCTGCAATTTTGGTGCTCATTTAAAATGATTCTAGGAACACTCAATGGTTTAGGGGAAAGGTCAATGTGTGGATACTGAGGGTGCTGGCCAAGACCAGATCTTTATGTCCTTGTAGAAATGGTGTTATGAGGGGACAATCCAGCAAAGCCAGAGCAGATCTGGCCGAGCCAGAGCGGATCTGGCCTCGGATTGTCCCCAGAAATGGACAAGAGGAGAGCTCCAGCTTCCCAACGAGGCTGTAACACCAGTCAGACCCCAGTCCCTGAGCTGCTGGACACACCTGCTGGGCAGCACCATCAGTCGCCAGCATCCTGCGCTCCTTCAGCTGCCGGTGCAGCAGAGCCTCCACGCCGTAGCGCTGCCGGTATCGCCGCAGGCACTTCAAACGCTTCAGGTTCTCACGTTCCTTGGTCATCAACCCCTCTGGGCCAGTCAGAAGGCTGCTGCCTGCAGGGATTGAGGGAGGGATCAGAAAATACCACCCCATCTGTCACATCCTTCTCTTTTTTTGAGTTGTTTTTGGCCAAAATCAGCTGTTAAGAGCTCCAACAGATTAATGACACGGATGTCAACGCATCACGGAGCGAAGGAGCAGCGGGAGCTTCACGTATAAACACCAGGAAGCAGATCTTTTGGTTACTAAAAGGATGAGAAAACTGCTTCCATCTCAAAAACTCATCCTCCTGTGCACACGAGGAACCCACTGAGTATTTTGTAAGCGTCTTCTTTTTAAAACAACGTGGCCACTCAAACTCTTCTTGTGATTTTGTGCAGGAGTTTGTCAAATTTCAGCTTGTTCCTGGTGCAAGTTCTGGAAGTTTCCAGTAACTCCCAGCTGTAATTACAGGGCAAGGCTCAGGAATCTGTTCTTCTATTACTGGTTTGCTAAAAAAGAGTTTGACAAAATTGTTATGTACCAAACTTGCAGTTATTTTTATTCATGACCGAACTCTATGATGCCATTTTCCAGGAGGAGTTATTCTAAGAAAGCATTCTTTGCACTGCAAGACTTGCAATCAAGTTATAAAACTGGATTTTGGCCTCTGCTGAACAACAAAACTTTCACCTCCAAGAGGATGTTCTGTACAAGGAGAATTTAAAAAGATGCAGAAGTGTTTTTGTATGGGAAAAAAAAATCACATCTGGGCTAAGGAGGAAGATGTCATTGCAGCAGAACTGCTGGAATTACTGATACAGACAGGACCTTATAGATGAAGAAATATTTTGTTTATAAAGCCAAAAACCAGGAAATCCCATACAAAAAACCAAATCAAAACAAAAAAGAACTTTTGTCTCAGAATTCAACTTTGTAGTCTCATTTCCTGACAACGTTGCAAACTTTGAAGAGTAAAGAAATCCGGTAACCTTTGAACCCCAGTGATACCAATCTCTGGGCACGAGGCCAGATACAGAAATATCTTCTCTAACTTGAGTTTCAGTCCTGGGGTAATTTTCATAGAATCATAGAATGGTTTGG